ACATTTCCTTCTAGCGACTAGCAATGTTTGCCCCCTGACGATCCCAGAGTTCTTCGCGCAAACACGGGTATCCGATTACTGGCAACTCATTCATTATGTGAAGAGCGTAGCTGTATAGCTACTAAGTTGTTTTTGATCACATTTCTGACCTCAAAATACAGAAATGTAAAAACATGTAGATCTATGCAGAAAACGCAAAACATCCGCATATTAAGTAGCTGAGAGAGAATTACCAGAATATCTGGCTTCAACTGACAGCAGTGTACATTACATCAACCCTTGCTTACTTGGGATGTCACAAAAAAACTCATTAATTAATTACTGTTGAAAATATTAGTATTCACATCCTTGAAACAATTACCTGCAACCCCTACTGGCCCCTCTTAGAAAAAAGTACATATACACCACATTTCTGTATCTACTTACCACAGCCACAGCTTCAGATTCCAAAATACCAGCTTTTCCCAACACCGTTATGTATGCCACATTCACCATCAGGTAACACACAGTTGTAAGGGAGATACCAATAGTTATAGCCTTTGGCATATCTCTGCAAAAAATGGGTAAATGGTGAGTGTCAATCTTAAGCCAACAATCCATATATTCTCACAAATTCAACTCCAGGTGGTATTAGTTTTTAATAATTAAATTTCTTCCTATACATACTTTTCAGGGTGTTTCATCTCCTCTGTACAGTAGTTGAGATTGTTCCTATATGGAAAATAAAAAGGGTTAGAGGAACTTAACTGTCTGACTCATGACAAGTTAAAGAAATATTGTTGGTTTTTTAAAAACTCCACCTGATGGTGATATTTGTAATATTCATCACTGTGTTGACAATGCCATGGTCATATTTAAAGTTGTTGTTGTCATCTCAACTCAATTTGATTTTTATTAGAATATTTAATGACATCCATATCCAATGTAAGTGTAGCCAACAGAAGTAAAGATTAAAACTTAACTTTCTTTCTTACACAAACACAACAGATTTAACTACAAAGTACTGGTATACTGTATAACATTACCTTACCTTACTGAACATACACGTGTAAAAAATTATACTTAACAGTATCAACTTACCATCCATCATACGCCCAGAGACCCATGTAAAAAGCCATGCCAATCTTGCCAATATTTGTGGTAGATCCCTCAAAGCTACCCTTAAAGCTTTCAGTCTTTCCTAAGTGGCAACAATTAATAAAAAAGGGTTTTTTCAATAAAATTCTGTTTAACACATAAGTCAAAAGGGTTAATAGTAAGACTAAGGTTTCAAAACATTATCCAGATCTTGCCCTCTTCAAGCTAAATACACTTGGATCTACATGCACCCCACGTAACTGTACTTTTTTAAATTCGGGGAAATCAATCGTCAAATTTTCCCAATGAAAGTTTGCTGGCTGGCATGGGTGTATTATCTTCACTCAATCTGAGTTACTGTAATTTAAAACAAGGCAAGATTACAACATACCTTTACCAAGTTCCACGAAACCAATGATTGTTATCATCACAATACACAAGAGCTTTGCATATGTGAAAATGTCCTGTACTCGAGTGGCCCATTTGACACTCCAGCAGTTTATAACCAGGAGGATAACTACAACAAAAACAACAAATTAAAAAAGAATAGATCAAAACAAATACATTTTTTATAATCCATTCTATAAAATTCTATTCAAAAAGGAATTTCAGGGAGATGGGGTGTCACAGTGATATGTGTATCCCCACGATATGTGTATCCCCGCACACATATCACTAGTGATATGTGTATCCCCTCCAAAATGGCGGCCAGTGATATGTGTATCCCCCACCCTCCTCCCCTCTACTTTAAATAGCAATATCCTCCTTGAAAGCGCTCTCGTCGTCCGGTCCCTTACTGGACGAACGACTAACCCAAACAGACTTTAAACGCAAATCTCAATTTTTGTAGTTGAAAAAGCTTACGTATCTGCTGCTGGAATTGTGTTCTTATCCTAACTGGTTTTCTGCAAGCAGGATACAATGAATTTAAAGTTGAACACCAAATGGATCTAGATATATTTCAATTTGAGTCTCACGGCACGGGATTTCTAGGACGATATTAATTGCGCGGTGAATTACTAGCAATTTTGCTAACAAGTTTCATAATAATCGACGTTTATTCTTCAGTAGATAGCCTAGATAACGGCTGTCTTCAGGGGATACACATATCACTGCGCCATGTAATAATTAGTTATATGTGTATCCCCTGTATGCAGTCTTATACAACCGAGGTCAGTGAAACTCCAAAAATCCCAAGCTATGAATAAATGCCGGGTGTAAATATTTCTAGCAAGTCAGTTTTGACAATGCAAATGTAATGGGCAGTTTTCTTCTTGGGTAGAAAGCCAATATAACAGCTGTGTCCATATGGATACACATATCACTAGTTCATGAAATAATCAGTGATATGTGTATCCCTTATAATCCCGTGCACGCGTGCACACGTTTTTAGTGGAATAATCGAGTTTCAAACTCCAGTAAACTCAAGCCGTGTAAAAATGTCGGGTGCTAATATTGCCTGCAGTTTTGACAAGGTCGATGCGCTGTATTATAACAGTTGTGTTTATGGGGATTCACATATCACTGCGCCATGAAATAATTAGTGATATGTGTATCCCCTGCACATGATCTCAGCTTAGATATTTAGACATTCGAGTTGGAAACTCCGCAAACCTCAACCTTGGTATAAACGTCGTCGCAAGTAGGCAGCCAGCACATTTCAGCAATAATCGGCCCTTTTTCCATTAGGTAGAAAGCCAATGTAACGGCTGTGTTTAGGGGATACACAGATCACTGCGCCATGAAACAATTAGTGATATGTTTATCCGCTGTTTGAAGTTTTAGTCAGATATACAATTGAGTCGGTTGGAACTCAACCAAACTCCAGAAATCCTAAGCTGCTCCATTGGGCGTGAATTAATTTCTGGTTTCTCCTACTCTTTACAGCGAGCCGCCATTTTGTTCGTTGAATGCCTAGGCGAGTATCAGTGTTTTGTGTATCCCCACAGGGGATACACATATCACTAGTGATACATGTGCGGGGATACACATATCATGGGGATACACATATCACTGTGACAGGGGCACAGATATTGTCTGTAACAGAACACTGTTTCGTAGCCTGTGAATAATGAGAGGTGGCTGTATTCGCAGGCTAACTGTTTTGGGGCAGTACAATTTTTTGGCTAAGATCTTAAGAGCTCGCCGGGATAGAGAGAGGAAAAATATTGGGAAAATAAAATATTAGCCTGGTGTACAAATGTCAAAAAATCAAGGATGAAATCAAAGCGAGGGAAGACAAGCCACCCTTATAAATCAGCAATGCAATGTGTATTATTCCTGTTAAGACCTGTGTAATGCAGGTTATTTCAGTTATACATGCCTGAAAGTAATGACCCCCTGAAAGTACATGTACGTATCCCTCAAAAGTAAGGTCAAAAGATTGTGGCCGCTGGAGCAAAATCATTGTAGTGAAAGGAGTTAAAGGGCTCAGAAAAGAACACCGAGAGAAACTTGAACAACAGTAGGCCTAAAACTAACAACTCAGTGTAGACATGAAGAGTCCACCCATGATCACCATGTGGTAGTAACATGAAACTGGAATGACAAGTTTTATCTTGTTTTTGAACAAAGTTTTGTTATGAATTTCCATCTCTTCTTTCGGATAAAGAGCTCACTCGTATCAATGCTCAGAATTTTAATTTCTTATTTATTCATTTAGTTATTTTAGCATATCTTAAAACACAATTTTATCTCGTTTACATATAGATATAAATTCTTAGATATCTTTTAATCTTTTTACAATTGTAAATTTAGTTAG